CGAAATGAAATATCGCGAAATGAAATATCGCAATATTTCAGTGTATCGATATTTTCTTACACCCCTAATTTATATGATAGTTCATATACACAATATATAGAATAGTTAATTTATGAGTTATTAAAGGAGTAAAATTATGTATTTCTCAGGCATATATTTAAATTCTATACCATCATAAAAGTAACTATAGTGAGGGTTTACTCTGGTCTGTTACACCAGGACCCCCACCTGCCCAGGTGTTCTCTTGTTCAGTGATCAAGCTAAAGGTACCAGCTCACTGTGAACTTCTACATGAACAAAGATGAAAAGAAAGATCTGGTGAAAAGTGGATATTTTGATTGTAAAGACTGCAGATTGCTGTGTTGGGAAAATACTAACTTCTTTTAAAAACCTACAGAATACAAAAAGCAGCCTAAAAGACAACGGAACAGTTATATTCTCTGATTCTACAAAAGTTCATAATTTCAGATAAAGTAAAAATTCTGCACCAGGAAAACTAAATTCATTAAACCAAAACAAACAGTTTAAAGTGATTTTGGGAGAACAATTACTAAATCAGTTTATAAAGTTTAAACATGAATCAGTGAAATTTAAAATATGATAATTAAAAATGGATTGTTAAACTCTAAACAGTTTAGTTTATGGATGTTAGATTTTCATGAACTTTGGTTTCAGATGTATACAATCAGTTTGTTCATTATCTTCTGAAACATTATCACCTGCAGCACAGTAACRTTTTACTCAGGTCTGTTTGTTGCTCTGAATCTCTCAACATASTCTATGTTCATGAAACTCTGATTATTCAGTTCACAGTTTACATTTTTTGAATTACCTTAATTAAAAATGACCACAGAACAGGAAATACAAATAATAATAATCAAAAAAAAAAAAAGAATTGAAATGAAAATCGTATAATTTAGTAACTGGATCATTCACAACACAAAGTTCTCAGATTACTGGATCTCATTAAATATTGTTATATCAGAAGTGATGGCACWTTATTTTCATCACTTGTTTAAAACTCAGCATGAATGATGGCGAGTGTTTGACTTTTAACTTTACTCATTAAAATATAAATTCAATGCCATCAACAGACCTGTCTTCATAATACTTTACTACCTGTAAGCTAAAATTTTACATTTTTATTTTCATTAAAAATCTAAATTGGCCAACAGATTGCATCATTATGCTACAGTACAGAGAAAACTGATAACTTTAGTAGACAACAGTGTTGTATAAATTACCTCAAAGTGATATTTCAGTAAAAGTACAAGTATCTTATCATAAATTTACTTTGGTAAAAGTTCAAGTCTCCTCTAAGAATATTACTTGAATAAATGTCTTAAAGTATCTAACATATTTTGTACTTAAGTATCAAAAGTAAATTTCTGACATAAAATGTACTTAAGTGTTAAAAGTACTGAGTAAAAATGAGTGGCTAGACTTCCCAAAATGACATTTATTGGAGTTGATACCCTCAAAAAATGTTTTTCTAAAGGCCAAAATGGCTATATTGTCATATAAAAATTATAATGTTAGAAAAATTAGAATGTATGTATCTATATCTATCTATCTCTAGATAGAGATAGATAGATAGATAGATAGATAGANTATTTGTACTTAGTTACTTTACAACTCTGGTAGACAATTTCAGATGTTTCTCTTACAAACACATAAGTTGACAATAAAAGCACAAGGAGCATCGGTACTGAGACACTAAACTCACCTCAGTTCAGAAGAACACAGGACCACCGTCTGAGACCCCTGCTCCACCGTCTGAGACCCCTGCTCCACCGTCTGAGACCACTGCTCCTGCAGCTGAAGTGGCTCTGATGACCGAGGCTTTGTGTTGATCTGGGCTCAGTTTACCAACAAGAGTTTAACACACCAGGAGCTTCATTCAGTGTGTGCCTCCCCCCGCCACACACACACACACACACACACACACACACACACACACACACACACACACA